GACTTATTTACGTTCACTGTGGCGGAATCGAACTGACGGGCAAGAATACTGAAGAACTGTTAGAAAATAACTATAGAGCAAGTGCTTTTATATTTCGGAGAGTGCTTTGTTCAAGCTTGCTCATTGAACCCGACTTTCCCTATCAAATAAGTCGGATACACCCTCAGACGAGACCTTGATCCTAAATTGCAAAGTAGTAAGCCTTATTACGGTACAATTTATGATGGGTAAAAACTTATATCACGGTACTATTTGTGGTGGGTGCTGTATATCACTATTGTATTTAGGTGATGGCTGTGATCATTTTGTTTCTATTAAAGTTGTCCTTCGTAGGCTTCACAAGGTTATTACTGTTGCAGGATGTTCGTTGGGAATATTATTTACCTTCGTGCCATGTAACAGAATTACCTTTTTCAAAGGAGGAATTGTAGAGCGGGTGATACGCCAAAACCAATCAGGAAGTATGGGGAAAGGTTTCCAAATTTTCCCATCGCCACCCATAAGAGTGGGGTATTTGCAAACGATCGTTTTCGGAAAACTATGCCGCTGGTTACACAATCCCTCGAGTATGCACTTGTTATGACACAATGATCGTCATGGTGCGGAAGATTTCGTTGCACTTAAGATTGATCCAGATGTATGGGGCGCAAAACTCCTTGTCTGGAGTTTTCTAAGTGGTCAAATTCCTGATTTGCCACGCTGAATTGGGGCACATCCATGTCATAAGTGTTGCGTTTAGCCTTTTTTTTTGTGTGGAGGAAATCTTCTTAAGACACCTGAGTCTTTTAAGGGAAGACCCAGGTAGTGTCGGATTCTTACCTCCACGATGGTCATCTTGCACGTTGGGAGAGCTCCAGGACCTTTTTATACACACAGAGCTCTCTCGTGCTGTTGTTCTAAAGATTGTTAGACATATACTTTTCTAAATAGATTACAAGAATAAAATTATAGTAAAAAACTCTATACAGAATTGCTGGATTCCTTTCAATGATATTTTGATTTCAAATTGTGAATTTGGAGATTATTTTAACTTTTTTTTACAAAAGTTCAATCGTTAAAATTAAAATAATAAAATTATTATGATACCCATACGAAACCAATATAAAATCGATAGGAAAATGAATTCTAAATTATAATCAATAGAACATATTATGAGAAGTGATAGTGAAATAGTAACTATATTCAACACAGATAAAAGAATCGTTCATATCATGTCATTTCTGTTTTTTTAACTCTTCCCAGAAAGTATTTATCTAATGGTTATTAATAGTTACTTCTAGAACCTTTTAAATTGTTTAAATCATTAATTATTAATTTATTAATTATTTAGAACTTATACAAATACTTATTATTTTTTGTTTAACACTTCAACAGCAGCATATAAATGTATCTATTTTGATAGTGGATTCATTTATGTCTAATTATTGTCGTCGTGAAAAATTTTTAGTTGAAATAAATAATTTTTTGTTTAATTTTCTCTTTATATATAAATAAATGTCTTAAAATTTCAAACATAAAAAAATAAAATATATTATAGTTACGACTGTACTGTAGTTATAACATAAAAAAATCTAAAATCCATACATTTTTTTGAATAAAAATTCACTGTGATACTCGTGTTTAACAAAATGAATTAGATAATATAGTGAACAATTTCATCGGTATCTCAGATTTGTTTCATATTTTAATATGTTTAAAGGCAAAAAAAGAGCAATTTAAAAAAGCAAAATATATTAATAAAAACTATCACAGAAAATTATAAATGCTTTTGATTGTAATTAAAAAATGTTTAAAAATTTGAGATTATATTCCTAAAACTATTCAAATTAACCCAAATATAACCTGTACCTAATCCAAACAAGAGGATTTTGAATATTTTATTAATAAACATCAAATCGAATTTGCTTTTTTCATTTAATATTTACACTCTTTTATTTAATTTGAACGTTAGATCAATTGGATTATGCTTGAGTTACGTATCTAACCTCTAAATTTCATATTCCCTTAAATTAATTGCAATTAAATATATTTACCCGTGACAGTTTTTTGTAAGATATTCTACCATTTTAAATATTTTCTTTAATTATTTTAAAGTACGAAACAAATCTGAGATACCGATAAAATTGTGAACTATTACCAAGTAAACTGAAGTATTGTGAATTATTGTAACTTATTGTTATAAGGTTAGAGATTAAAGACATGTTACTGTAAAAGATAACCTCACATACGTTTATATAGTTTTTATTTATTTAATATTCTGAAATCTAGTCAAATGTGTTTTTTGCAGTTATAAAAATTAACAATCCTGAAATTATTTATTTAAAATTATCAAAAAAATTTGTCCAATTGATGTATTAATGTACAAGTGAATTTGATATTTTAGGATATAATTATGGAATTATCAAAAGATACCATTGACGGTCTTACTAATATTCTAAATATAAATATTGTCACTGACGATAATTTTCTACAAATCCTAGAAACAGCTATTTCATACATACATGAAAATCCTATGGAAATAAAATGTAAGTACTTGTTTTAATACAACTGTTAAATATAAATCAGATTAATTTATAGAATTATTAAAACTAATGAAATTTTAGGCATTATTAAAAAATCTGATTCAAAACCAGTTTTAACAAGAAAGGTTTTTACTGATGTGGTATGTTTACTTATAGAGGCAGCCCGACATAATTTAGATGAAGAAAGCTTGAGAAACTTTTTAAATCTTGTATATATTGATGAAAAAAGGGTTACGAAATTATCTGAGGTATACATTAACAATAAAACAGCAATACAATCTCAGTTGGAATTAATAGGCAATAATCCATCTCATATTGTTGATATAGACTGGCATTTAGATTATTGTGTTAAGGTAATTGATCGGTGAAAGGAACACCGATCTTATTTCATTTAAAAATGCTTTATTCGCTCTTATTTATGAAAATGATTTTCAGTTGGACACATGTAATTCATTAAGTGTTCCTCTTTATCATGTGCGACTTAGTACTAAAAAACATGAAACAATAGATCATGTAACATTTTCATGTACAATACAACAATTGCAAGAACTGGTGTTTAAGCTCAAAGATGCCATCAGATACTCAGAAAAGCTTACTAACGTTTAGCTATGTCTTTAAATACTACATATAGCACAACCCATATATATATTTTAAAATCTTCTCTGAATTACTTTTGTTTTAACCATTTCTGTTACAATACATGGATTTTTATAAATTATAATTATTAGCAACTTATGACATTTGTGTATATTAACATTTATACAACAATTATTATAATAATCATTTAATAATAAACTCAATTTTTGTACGTATATGTGTGATGGTAAAATCTTATACAAAACAACAAACCGTGTAAAGTATAATCAACTATATTTTTATAATTAAAAGAACATCATCTATTTCACGTAGTATTATTACTATATTGATAACGCGCGCGCGTCAAAAAGTATGCGCGCGCGCACACAAACATACGCAACATGTACATAATAAATTTCAAAACAAATGACGATCAACGTTTTTATAAATAAAACAAATCTCGAAAAAACTTCGTCTAAATCAGTTTTGATTTAAACGATATTGAAATTTTTTTTTCTTTACATAAAAATTATACATATACATTTTTCATTCGCTCACTCATTCAGGTACACCTTGTATACAAAAAAATCGCGCGCGCACACAACTAATAACTTATTAAAAATACGTTGTTTTTTGCTCTACAATCAGGCATCTCTGTCTAAAAATTGCTTTTTTGTATTAGACAAAAAATACTATCGTTACATTCTTAACATCTAAAAATATGCGTGTTAAATTATATTAATAATCGATCATTTTTCTTTAATATCTAATATGTAATATAGATTTCTTTGAATCATTATACACTATTTACAAGTAAATGTATCTAAAAGGAAAAAAATCGTTCAATATTAAAAATTTATCTATACATTAACTCTTTCTTTCTTTCCGGCGCTTATTAAAATTAATAGTGGACTTCTTATCCATGCGTGCTATTTTAATAATTCGGTGCGATGCGACACATCGATAATATCAACTAATTAAGCTGGAAAGAGAGAAATCACTTATATAGCGTAATACTTTTTCTCATTTTCTTAAATCATTTAACAACGATCATCTCTTGCTCTCAATTTCCTAACATTACTTCATATATAAGATTACTGTGATAAGGCCTCGGATATTTTACTATAGTTGTTTCTTTTTTTTTAAAAAGAGAGTATGCGAAAAAAGAGCCAATCAAAAAGGTGTATCATAGCTAAATCTATTTGGAACATTATATTAATTCTCGAGGCTTTGGCTAGATATTTAATTGATTAAACAAAACACAATAGAATTTGTCCAGAAGTATGATAAATAACGTAAACTAACAGACTGTGTGAAATTATTTTATAAAAACTCGTTATATAAATATGATATATAATTATACGCAGTATCTTTTTCTATATTAATCTTTATACAGTCCTTATATCAAATCTGATGTTAAATATATTTAATTATTTCTTATATTATTCCTTTTGTTGTTGTTTAAACCAGAAGAGAGAGAAAGAGAGAGATGTGTTATGTATTTTTAATTATTACAACTTTTAATCGCAAAATAAAAATTAGATAATAACGATGCTTTAAAGTTTAGTATTGTTTTAATATGGTTAATGTTTTGCGTCTTAAAAATCGTAATAATTAAGATAATAACGTGAATTTGAAAAATTTATCAGCAGCTTGAAATGTAGAATTACGACTCGGTAAAATGTTTTTGTCTAAAATAAAATTTGAACATTTATATCTGATCTATGCCTAAACATAGAATTTAAATTCAGTGCGGATCTTATGTCTTCATTTTGTTAACTTGAGTCTCAGAATTGTTTTGTTGTTCCTCAGATTTGTCACATTTTTTTTCATTTTTAGACTCTTCTATTTCTTGTTTTTCAATAATTTGCTCTGAGACTTGAACCATTTTTGCTTCATTCTGCTCGTTCTGTTGCTCTGTAATCTTTTCTGTTTCACCTTTCTTTTCGTTGGGGAAATCGCCATTAATTTGCGAAGTTGATTTTTCTCTCTTTGTACTTATACCGTTACTATCTTCGTTAGATCGATTTTTTTCCGAATTCTGCCCTTTCGAAAGATATAAATTTTGTTCTTTACATTTTATCGCTTCTTTCTCTAATCGTTCCTTATTTTGATTCTGATCGTCTGCACTCAACGAATATTCTTCCAACTTGATTTTTGAATTAACAATCAAGGTATTTTTATTCTGTCCGATACTTGTACTAGGAGAAAGCGAAGACGATTTAGAATTTCGAATTGTTTCCGTCGGTATGTTAACAATCTCCGTATTACAAAACTTTCCAGTCTTAGACAAATTAAATGCACTGACATCTTCCTGTGGTGTATTTTCTGGAAGAAGCAGGTTATTAGTCTCAAGAGACGTTGCAATTGCTTGCGTTTCGGATTTTACCAAATTATAAGATGCGGGAGAAATTGCTGTTAGAGAGGTAGTTTTTGGTGACTTAGGTGAAGAATAGGTGCTTGGTGGTATTCTCTGGACTGTCGGGGGTTGTGAAACTGGAGAAAAACCAGTAGTTTGTGGAATATAACTAGAGCGCTGATATAATTTATTAATAGAAGGAGGTAAATTACTATGGAAGGCACTGGGGGATGGAATTCCTATTGGTGAGCGTATCAAAGGATTTGGAAATCTAGTGGCATCTGGAAATGGTCGTGGAAAGTGAGGATAAATTAGCCCAGGATTCATATTTGGTGTCGGAGAGGGTATAAAAGGACTCGTCGAAAGCATATTTACTGGAGAATTTTTCGGAGATATTGGTGAACCAGTACTTCTACAAATATCTCTTGAGAATGGAGGATTTGGGTAATTCCTTGCACTGGGAGAATACGGAGGTGGTGAAACAATGGGCGAATTAACTGTCGAGACAATTGGAGATAGAGTTTTAGGATCTATCTTCATCATATTCAAACTCCCATTTTTAGAACTGCTAGATGTATTTGTAGTTGTTGTTGATGTCATTGTTGACTGTTCTTTTTCTTTGCATTCATTACCGATGCCATACATTGGTTTCACTCCAGAGGCAGGATTACCCAAATATCTTGGCATGTTTCTCATTTTAAAGATCTTAGCTGGTTTAGATTGAATTTTGCTTCTTTCAAAAAGCGTTGTTTGATGCAACTGATTTTGCGCGTCTTTACTTTGATTTTTAACCGCTACATAATTGTTTTTAGATAGTGTAGGATTCCAGCATCTTGGAGGATCGCGAAGGGTTTTATAACCCACTGCTTGACTTTGTTTTTTAGAAACAGAAAGTACTTTCTGTAAAGAGTGAGATGTAGCCACTGGAGAAGTACTTACTAATGAAGTAGCCCTAAGACTATCTTTTACGTTTGAATAAATATTTTTACTTTCTGTTGTGACTGCATTACTATTATTAGGTGAATAAACCGGTACATTTGGAATATTTGTATGTTGTTGCTGTTTGTTGCTGGAATCAGCAGTGACTGATGACGAACTATTTTTTCTTCCAATTTTTAATAAATCTGGAATATCAGATTTATTTTTTGCTTCCGTTTTGTTTTTTTCTTTAGAATTTTCTCCAATTTTTGCGCAAATATCATTAATTTTTGAGCCAGAAGCTCCAATCTTTGCACAAATTTCATTCAAATTAGAACCTTTGGTGATCAATTCATTTTTCCGAATTATAGGTTTCATTAAAGAAATTGGAATTGCATCAGGACAAGGAGGCACTGAATATGTATTAGTTAGTTCCAAATTTGCTTTCAAAACGGGCTCTTTTGAAATACTTGGACTTGTGTAACTATTTTTCAAAGAAGAAGAGACGTTTACAGAAGATGTAGTAAACGCTGTACAACTTTCTGATACTGAAGGCGTAGGTATCTCACTTTCAGAAACTGCAGTAATAGATAATTTTTGTGTTGCTGATGAACTTAAACTTTTAAGAGAATTTTTTAACATTGTACTATTTACTAAATCTTGAACCGTATAGGGAAATATAGACGTAGATTGACTTATTGTTGATGTAGAAATTGAATTGTTTCCATTCCCAACAGATATAGATGGTGATGTCGTAAGATTTAACGACGCCAGATTATCATTCGATTCGATTCGACTATATGACTTTTGAGAAAACGTGTTTATTTGTTCATTTATTCTTTGACAAGATTCTGCTGGAATCTGTTCTGACACGTATGATTTTTTCTCTGAAGTACCTTCGCCTTGAACAGAATATTCTTCTTTTTGATCGATTGATTGCACACTTTTTATTTTAATTTCTGTTTCTTTTATCTCAGAATTAACTGAAGTACTTGGGTATGTTGATAAAATAGGTTCTACGGTATCTTGCAATTCCGGTTTCTGTGATATGACTTTTGTAGAATATGGGACTAATGATTTATTTAACGTAGCCCCGCAATTATTCGTCATTACTTGTGTTTTTGAAGAGTCAAGAGAATTTTTTAATTCCGTAGATTTTAAGCTTTCTGTAATTTTTACATCTACTTTTTTAGAGGATTGTGGTGTAATTTTTTTATCTTTTGTAACCTTTTTTGAGGAAGTATTACTATTGCTAATTTGACCAGTTTTCGGTTGAAATTGCAATTTTACACTTAAAGCATTAATTTTTGACCCCGTATTTATAAGTTTTATCTCATTTCTTGAATTTTGCTTAGCGTTCTCTAATTTTTCTGTGATAATGTTATTATTTTTTAACGATTCCTTTTGATCTTTATCTTCAATGTTATTATTTCTAATTTCATATTCATTTGCATATTGTGTCATTTCTTGTGATTGAATACTTTTCTGTAAAGTTTTTTTATCTTCAATATTATTATTATCCAATCGCTTTTTCGATTCCTCTTCATGTTTAGAATTTATCGTACTTTCTATTTCTTTCGTCGAAGTCTTTATAATTTCTGTTTGATTTGCATTATTTTGGTCATCCACTTCGTTTAATTTGGAAGTATCAAATTCGCTCGTGTCTTGTTTATCTGAAGATTGTTTATTTTTTTCATTGACTTCAGATATGTTATTTTTATTACCATTTTCTTCAATTATTGACGTATTTATTGTTTCAACGCTAGTAATAGATTCTTCGACTTTCGTGTTTTTCTTAAATTGTTGGTCCGTTATATCTGTAATGCTCATAATGCCAGTTTCAGAAATTTTTAGTTGTACCTCTTTCCATTCTCTAGTCACCGATTTTTCTTCTTTTGATTCTACAGCATCTATGCCAGCATGAAGTAAAGATGTTTTATAATTGACGTTATCTTCTGAAAGTTTTATTCGTTTCGGAGAGGATTCAAATATTCTGTAACTTAAATGCAATGGCACTTTCTGAAATAAATATGATAAAATATTTATAGAGTCAGATAACATTTCAGACATTTCAAATACAAACTGTTTGTACTTACTCGTCTCCAATGATAAATATACATAACATCCATTAATGTATAACTACTACACAGTGGTTCCTCTTTATACATTACATCTACCCTATGTGCATCAGTTAAGCCATATTTAGCTCTTATAAGCTTTTGTAAATGAAAAATGGTTACTGCAGCTGGACAACGAAGATATCGCCTCAACAAAGGTTTTACAGTTATTCCTTTAACATCCTTGGATGGACTAAAGTATTCTAATGATAAACTAAGAGACTCATCCGGAGAATATATATGTGATTCAATTGGTTCTCCCCTTGCCTCTGGAGATGTTGCCTGAGTACATGCTTCGGGATGTTTTAAATAAAATTCTCTCCTACACCGCATTTCATCTGACATATAAATATTCAAATGAATCGTTATATATATTTTTTCTTTTCAATTAACTGTATAACTTACTTTGATAACATCCAGGCACCAATTTGTACACAATGTCCTGCAAAGTGTGGTCTGGACGAATGTTTAGTAATGGTTTACTTTTGTGCACTTGTACCTCACATATCGGACAATACTTATTGTTCTCCAGATATTTGACGATACAGCTCCTGCAAACTGTAGTGCGACGTTAATCGCCGCTTATATCAATATGCTTGAATCATCGCTTAACCCTTTTGCAATGATGAAGTTATATCTATTCACCACAGACAAAAGGATTAAGAAAGCGACAGAAGAATACACATACACGAATGTAAACACTCTATGATAGTAGTGGCATCAATGAAATATCCACTGCATAATTTGCACGTCAGCTGATCATTGAGTTTGGACAACCTTAAGCGATGTCCTCCACTCTGGCCTGACATCCTATAGCAAGAACGATAAATTAATCATGTATACTTAACCAGTCAGTCAGCAGAGATACACAAATTATAATAACGCACAACATTAGTAACGTTAAGTGATGTGAAACATTCTTTCCAGCTAATTCAAGGCAATTTGCACATTGAAAATATACACACTGAAAGAAGTTTGGAAATCTTTGTATCATTCAGTAGATTGTAATTAAAGTGTTCAACTTACGTGGTAAATAACGCGAGAGCTGCTCGTTTTATCTAGTAATCGCCATTTGATTAAAGAAGTCAGGAAAGTTGGGTCGGAACTCGAGGTGAAATTTCACGAACCCTCATAATGAGAACATTCGTTAAAAAAAAAAGAAAGAAAAAACTGACTCGAAGATCCGTCGAAAGACAAATTTCTTTTAAAACGCCGAGCGCTCTCTGATCCCACGATTTTTTTGAAATCCGAGTCGATCTAGTTTATTGCAAAATAGGCCACGGTACCAGGAAAAACTCTTGAGGACGACAGCAAAACAAAATGGTGGATAAACAATCGTGCCAATGACATTTCCAAAAACATAAGTTTCTTTTAAGGTTTTCGCCTCGACTGCATTTTACGTTCCGCGAGAATAACGAAGAGAAGGGAACGATAATTAGAATAGAACTACAGAATGCATCATATTTACTGAAAAATATTTTGAAAGACATAAGGTACTATAGACTGTCGTAACTGCAACCAATGTTGTAACAGATTGACAATACCATTTATCGATACGATTGTTTAAGTACTTGGTATGATTCAGAGATAGCGTCGTTGACGCGGACTATTCAAATTCAATAAATAAAAATAATTCCCATCGAAATTAATATTTACTCGTAACATTACTAAATTAACGAAACAATCACGTATTTGTGTTTGTGTTTGTTTATTATGCAATTGTGTATTTTTTATGCATTTGTATATATTCACTAGCGTATTTTCATCAAAATATAAACACTAAAACCTAAATTTATATCATATCATATGACTGTTGCATATTTTATATTTATCTCAAATGAAGAATATTTTCCATATTTTGTTAATTTTTAGTTATGAAATGTAATGTTTAATTCATAAAAAATAATTTATAAAATTATTTATATAATTCATAAAAAAATAATTTAAATAATTTAATTTTATAATTTAAATCAAATTTTAAAATTAAACTTTGAAATAATTTTAAGAATTTTAATAAAGTAATTTAATTAATAATTTAAATATATTAAATAAATTATTAAATAAGACAATTTCGATTTTGTTTCATTTTACAATAACTAAATGTTTTGCTATTTAAAGTATTGTGTACTATTATATTATAATATAGTACTATAGTATTATATTATATATTTATAATATTAAGTTAATATTATATTATAATTTTTCATTTTAATTATTTTTATTCTTTATTTCACAGACGCATGTATTTATGAAAGTATTTAGAAAATGGAAGCAAATAAATATGTAATTCAATGTGATTCGTAATCTACTGCCTTTGTAGTTCATAATAAATGCCTAAATCTAACGTAACCGCGGATGAGGTATGTTATGATCTCGTCTGTGACGTAACACAGTAAATCAGTTTTTATCAAGGAAGCATGTTTAAGGTGCTATTTTTTCAAAAATGCTAAAATTTCATCACTTTATGTTATGCGAACGATTAATTTGTTGTTTCGAAGACAGAGGAATATAGCTTAGCTGTTGAAATATTAACAAATTGTCATCGTTGAATCATATCTTTTAAACAAGTTAAATGTATGAAATGGTTACAATACAGGACATTAGCATACAGCTTATGAAACCAGCTAAAGATTTAGCTGACTGGAAATTTCCATTATCTCAAGTATATTGTCACAATTAAATATTAAATTTATTACAATCAAATATGAACTTCATATCATTGTATTGTTTTAGATTTTAGAAGAATATTATGCTCTGTTGGAAGAGCCGCGTAACATCAATTTTGGAGAAGCGGCGCTTGTTCTTCAAAATTCAACTAATGTATATGTACGAAGGATAGATCGTCTACTTAACGAAACAGAAGTTTTGAAACAAACATTTTTTTGCTATGAGTAACTATTTATTTTAAATTCAATGAAAAGTACCAGATGAGCCATAGGTTATGGTACAAACAAAATCAGAAGAATTCGATGGCTTGAAATGAAATAGAAATTTAGAGTGGCTAAATTTCATCAAGAACTTTATTTTTGAGAAAAATGTATTTGAAAATTAATTAGGTTCCTGTATGTCTAATTAATGGTCAGCACTATATTACTGTGGATTATTTTTATATGAAGTATAACATCAGGTTTTATTTGTTGTTAGTATTTCCTTATATGAAGGATTTGTATATAAGAATTCAACTGATTTTTAAATGCGTGTCTCAGAAACAAACCATGATTTATACCCCACCTAGTAGTATAAGAGGTAATAATCTCTTCATTTTTTCATCAGGGAAGAAGAAATAAAGAAGTCTATATGCAAACAAAAAAAGATTTTCAGGAAAAGTTACATTGATTTGGAAAGTTTTGTAATGATTGACTTAGAGAAAGATATTGGAAAGCATATTGACAAAAAACATCAATTTCAAACACAGAAAAAAGTTAAATTATTAAGTCGTCGATTTACGCAATTGGAAAATGGTCTAGCCCAATTATGCAATCCTATTCAAGTATATGATATTCTAGGAGAAATCATAGGAAAGAAATATGATTTTCGGTAATTTTTTTTAGTTTAGTCTAATCTGCATGTGGTAGTTCTACTTTCTTAATTTTAAGGTGCAATCAAGCCATAAATACGAGTGGGATGTTGGTAGATGAATTAATACCATATGATTTTACTCGTACACTTAACTCGTCTGTTCAAGAAGGAAGAAACTCGTTATCATCATATTCAGAACCAAAAACCTCAGGTACAGGGACTTCAGGATATAATTCTATTACTTCACCGAATGATAATGAGTCTATTGCGCTTATTCATGAATTTGAAGATGAACAAAATTTTTCAACAATAGAAAATGATTCATCAGCAAATGAATTACATAGTGTAGAGGAAGAAAATATGATAAATAATAATCATGAAGATATATTTATTAATAACAGCACTTTTAAACAAGCTGAAAGAAATGAATTAGAGAAAGAATGTACTCAGCAAAATAAGATGCAAAATGTTAATGATCAAAATTGCTCAATTCAGAATTTCAGAGACATGAATGAAATCAAAAACGGATGTCAAAATGGAAATTCACTGCATGTAAACCAAATAAAAGAGAATAATAACGATAAAACTTTAGTACAACTTAGAGTAAGCAATAAATTAAAAGATAATAAGCAAATAGATTGCATTTCTGAAGAGAATTGTTTTCAATTAAATGAATCTTGTAATATAAAGTGGAAAAAAGGATTACCTAGCATGCGGAAAAGAGGGTACCTCTTAGAAAACTATTCTATTAATTTTATAATTCGTGATATTAAATCAGTGAAAACATTAATATTTTTATTAGGAATCAAACAACGAGAGTATCAATATGTTCTGTAGATGACATAAATGAATATGAGTGGAAACCAATGCCATTTGTTCAAGGAACAAAGCATGTTTTTTCAAATAATTCATCTATTTTAAAACTACCAGACTATATTTCGTTTTTGGAAACAAAATTTGATTCTGTATGTACAAATAATAATTTTTAATACATTTTAATATTTAGAGATTTTAATAATTTCTGAGATATTTGTACATTCATGTGTATCTGTTTATCTTTTTTTTTTTTTTTTTTTTTTAGAAAAAACGTAAATTTACATCGAAATTATGTAAACCAAAATGTTTAGCGAAATTCGTTTTACATGAAACTGAATTATTTGCAAAGAAAGACATTTCTTTACACACAAAACAGAAGTTCAGACATTTGCAAAAAGGTAAGTCAATTCAGAATTCAGAACAAGTTGAAATTATTAATACATTTTAAAATACAATTTTTTTGACAGATGAAATAGAAGATTTCATGAAAAATTTTGATGAATGTTTAAATGGTATAGAAAAAGAAAATGATAATTCTCAATATGAAGCTGTGACAAATATTGCTTTAGATTTATTAGGTTTTCGTATATGTCAAAATCAAAATGATTCAATTGAAGATAGTATTGAGACAAGTTCTATAAGAAGTTCTTCACCTATTGTTCCATTACAATCAACTAATTGTCAAAATTCACTTAATATGTTTGTGACGTCCCCTAACTCATGTCACAATTGGTGTGAGTCTTCAACTTCGGAAATTAATTTGTCCTATTCTTTGCCGGATTATCAAACGTTAATTGAGGACAAAATGAAAGAAATTTTTGAAGAATCCAATAACACCACAGAATTGGATCACACTGTAGCAAAGTGGCATGCTTCTTTACAACCAAAATTATCAGAGGCTGAAATCAGACCTCCATTTCGAATTCATGATTATTCATGTCATATAATAAAAGCATTACAAGCTTTAGAACAAAAGAAAATGAATTTTAATAGTGTCGTTCAAGACAAACCTGCTTGCGAAGTAGCTAGATACTTTTTGGCTTCGTTGCAATTGGTATTTTTTTATTTTTATAATTTATTTATTTATTGACTTGATAAATTGTAAAAAGTTTTGTCTTTGCAGGCAAATACTTACAATGTGGAAATAAAGGCGGGAAATAGTGACGACATTATAGAAATAACTTTGCTTGATAATGAAAAAAATTCATGTGCAAAATTGAAAGAATAATAATTAACACATTGTTTGCGGGTAACGGCCGTAGTAAGACTGTGATTCCTGTTATTCGCAAACAATGTGTTAATATTACAGTAAAGACTCCATAAATCTTCGGGAGTGCAGTGTATGTATATAATTAAGTAAACTTTGTATTATAAAATAACAAGTGAAAAAGAAAAATTTACAAATCAAATTAAAGTAACTAAATTTTATAACAATCTAGGCTTATTTTAATAAAAAAATATTTAATAATTATTAATATATTATATATAATAAATAATTATTAATATATTAATGAAATTTCTATTAGCAAACTGAAAATAGAAAAGTTTTGTTCTGATAGGAAAACTGATGATATATTGTATTTTTGAAGATAAAAAGCGAGCAATGATGATCTTTTTATGGAGTCTTCTATGGTATTATTAACAGCCCCATATTTTTCATTTGATATAGAAGCAATTTTTTCATGATGGTATTGTAATTGCTCAAAGTACTAAACTTTTAATAAAATAACACGTACTGCTCGTATCTATTTAAAAGTTTAATTACTTTAAATTTACTGCTGTATGTAATATAAAATCGAAATCATTTGGTTAGTAATTTTTTTTCATGAAGAAAAAAAAAATCGCGCATGCGTAATTTGTCGAAATGTCATTGCTTGCCGGCTATGCTTGCGGTGACAAATTTTTAGGTGCATTAGTTTACACTGAAGTGGTTCAAAGATGAGTTCTATTTTTTTACATAAATCTTTTATCCATTTGTTACATGATAATGATAATAATAAATAGCTTATTGATACAAAATACATTTATTGTTATATATTTATAAAGTATCTAAAGAATTATTTATATTTAATATCTGACAAAATGTTATTTACATTGTTTGAAGTTTGTTATTACATTCTTTGAAGTGTTATTTTATTAGTTTAAAGCAATAAATGAAAATTGCATGTAAGAGATTTGATACTCTATTAAATTACTTGATAGTAAGCAATCAGCCAATTCAAATCTGTTTGTTCTCCCCTTCTTTCTAATTTGTTTCATGTATTAGGGATACAACTCTCTTTAGAAGCATAGGATTTTTGTAAAGTTTTCTTTGGTAAGTTGAACGTAATATCCTTTTTGTTAACGAAAACGATAAATAAATAATTTTTAAGGATTTTCAATACACATAATCATGGAAAAGAAATCATCTATGAAATCCACCCAATGGATATTACAACCATGGAGCCTTTTGTTTCTTATTCTGATTCAATTCTTGATACAATTTTTAACATCTATTTATCTTTATACTTATGTGGCACGTGTGGAAACAGATATTCTTATTATGCAAAATCAAGAGTTTTTAGAAACTGAAAAATTGGTAAGAAGAAAACGAAGTAGTGCGTTGCCCGTGACAGAAGATAATAAAGTTTCAGATCAATCAAGAGTATGTATTATTAAGATATAATATAAAAATTTGTATTTATATTCTTTGTTATATTTCAGATTTGGCAAGAGAAAGATACATTAAAAGAATCCAAAAAAGTAACTTCGTCACCCATAGTAAAATCAGGTTTGGCATCTTCTCCAATTACTCCTGTGGGACACGATTGGGTATGGTTAAATGCAGATACTCGTGTGCAGGTTACATATTTGTCTTTTCTTAATAATGAGAAATAATAATATATAAGAATATGTAAAATTAATACATAAGAATATGTAAAATTTTAATCATAGATATTGTACATTTTAGCTTGACGCAATTGAAAATTTCTGTCGTTCGTCAATGAAATATTGTCCACCAGGATTGCCAGGAGCACCAGGAAGTCCAGGAGCTCCTGGAGAACCAGGTCTTCCTGGATTACGAGGAATGACTGGTCCAAAAGGGCCACCTGGTTTGACTGGTCCTCCTGGTCCTCGTGGTCCAAAAGGTGATATAGGGCCATCTGGTTTTGATGGAAGAGACGGTATACCAGGAGAACCTGGTCTTGATGGAATTCCTGGACGTAGTGGTACAGATGGACTACCTGGTATGAATGGTAAACCAGGACTAAATGGATCTCCTGGTCGGCCTGGACGTAATGGAACAGATGGTATACATTGTTTAATTTAGAAATCCTTTATTATTAATTTGTTTTAATTCTAAAATTGTCATGATATCTTTAGGAAGACCAGGTCAAATGGGACCTCAAGGACCAATTGGACCGCGTGGTAACTTAACCTTATTTCAAATTCGCTCATTCTAATTGCACATGGATGAAAAAGAGATACGTTGATGTGAACAACTTTAGGAGAAATGGGTCCTCCTGGTAGACCAGGCTCACCAGGACAAGATGGCAGACCAGGGATAACAGCCTGGAAGGTGAACACGAATGATTATAATATAAATGACTTGTTAATTCCTCCTTCTATTTTAGGTAAGTATTTTTCTTATTTTTAAATTATACTTAAATTTATACTTAAATTTACTTAAATTATAATTATACTTAAATTTACTTGTTCAAACAAGACACACTTTAAATAATTTTTTAGATGATCAGATATTATCTTCAACATTAAATTCGACTGGCGTAATTTCTGTTGATGAGGGAACTAATTTGCGACTAAAATGTGCAGCAAGTGGCAAGCCTCAACCTACTGTTCAGTGGTTTAGAAGTGACGGTGCTGTCATTCCTATAGGATCTTGGCATGGTAATATGAAATTACAATCAATAATGCAATTATGAACTTCTATTATACTTAATAATAATTAAATTTTAATAAAGGTTATTCATATAAGTATATATTTATTTGTATAAGTATATAATAATTAATAATAATTAAATATTTGTTTTTTTTATATTATATTTACATATTTACATATTTATTCAATTTATTCAACAGTGACTTCTGTAATTGGCCATATATTTAATATCAGTGTAGTTAACAGAGAACATATGGGAGAATATACCTGTGTAGCTGATAATGGAGTTCCACCTCGTGCATTGAAAAGAGTCAAAGTCGAAGTTAAATGTAAATATTCTGATATACATATACATTTATGTACGTGTTTGTAAATTTATTTATATATGTATTTTGTCAAGAAAAAATTGTTTTTTAGTTTCTCCTTTCATTCGAATACGTAATCAAATGATTCGCGTACGTAGTCAAAGTACTGCAGTTTTAGAATGTGAGGTCGAAGCATTTCCAGAACCAATTGTTTATTGGGAACGTGAAGATCGTCGACTCAAAATATCCGATAAATATAGATTCGAAGTTTATGACAGAAGAGATGCGTATAAAGTAAGAAATAGTTTATGCAACATGTTCGTACATATTTAAATATATATACATGAATATTTGTCTTTATATATTTTAGCTTAAAATGCGTTTGAAGATTACAAAGGTAACATCAGCAGATCATGGTACCTATCACTGCGTTGTTAAAAATGATATTGATACCATTAAAGGTTCATTCATAGTTGATGGTAATATATTTATTATCTATATATTTATTATTTTTAGCTTTTATATTTTTCAAATAATCAATTCTAATTGACATTGAAATATTTTAGATGATGTAAAGAGCATGGAAAAGTCAAAAATAGGAAAACACCAACATGTTACGTACGGAAAGCCAGCACCACAACATGTTGATTTAGATGAACTTTGTGCACCACATGAAACTTGTGCTGCTTGTCCTGTATTAAGATGTACTTTTACAGATGTTGCTGAATATTTAAATATTCAGCCACTTAAAAATGTCAATTTTACTGGACTTCCACTAAGATTAGCAGGTAGGATAGATTTAATTTCCTTCCCTTCTAACTTGATAAATTAACTATATACTAATTTTATTTAATTCTGTTAGATGGTATAATAGAAGCAGTAGGAAAACCAGTTTTAAAGGGCACTATGGATGATCATTATGGAAGCTGGATGCATGATGCATCTAAATCTGATAGTGATCCAGAGAAACTTTGGGTTACTCGGAAAAATGAAACTTCTTTTATATTTGAATATAAGTCAAAGGATTATTTTAAAAATGCGAGTTCATATTCCATTAAATTACCATATCCATTTCAGGTATGACGCAAGATTTAAAAAATTATGTATCATTATTTAATGTTAAACTTATTTTTAGGGAAATGGACACGTAGTGTATAACAAATTTTTCTTTTATAATCCCATAAATCGATCTTCAATTTTTCGATTTAATCTCCAGTCTATTTCTGACCAAATATGCAACAAAGAGTTTTCGCGATGTGAATTACATCTTCCAGGATTATTAGTGAACACAAAGAATTATCTATATACACCAAACCATAATTTTAATTACGTTGATTTCAACGTTGATGAAAATGGTAATTATATTATAATTCATTTAAAAGATAAAAGATATTTCTTTCAATAAAAATTAGGTAAAAAATAGGTAAGATGTATACTATTTTTAACAACAGGATTATGGATAATATATGGATTACCATCAAACAATACAGTAGTAATAAAGATGGATGCAACTAATATGAATATTCAGCATGCATGGAACATTAGTATAGATAATCATAAATTTGGAGAAATGTTTATTGCTGGAGGAGTGCTTTATGCTGTTCATAGCGTTACAGAAGAAACAATGAAAATAAGGTAAGATTTTAGAAAAGAAGAAAAAGAATAATGAAAACGTTCTAAACTTAAGAAAAAGAGTTATATATTTTATAATATACATTATTTCATAATCATATATTAATATACACTTGCAGGTTGGCTTTCGATCTTTATAAAAATATTACAATACCTGTTCATTTATCATTCACGAATCCTTATCATAAAACCACAGCAGTCAGCTACAACCATAAGACAAAAGTAAATGCTTTGAAGTTTAAAAAAATAAAATATACTGAAAGTGAAAATTTTAATGTTTATTGTTAATGTTTTCTTTATATATATTAGGAACTTTATACTTGGAATAAAGGGAATCAATTAGCCTATCCAATTAAATATCAAGGCTCTGCAAATACCACAGCGAGAGAAGAATTCAGAGGTACAGAAACTGGAATCTAAGACTACTATCAGTGCGACATTGAAAAATTGATGAAATATATCTATTTTATCCTTCAACTTTTTATTAATATATTGATTAAAAAAAAGACAATAAAGGAAATAAATCTTTTCTCTTCATTCGATCTTATGCTTAAAACCCATCTTTCGTGACCAGATGTATTTTGTAATTACAATTTCACCATTTCTGGTTGTAAAGCCTACTCGGTAATTATTGTATGCTTATTGTACACTATACTTAGTAAATGTAGCTAATTTCTCCAAAAATTGCCTCTCAAAAATTGATTCGCTGATATTAAAATATATTAAGATTCATTTAATTTAAAAACTGTAAGCGTGATAATAAAAAATATTGCAAAGTTAATTTAATTCTGTGTTTAGAACATTTGATTTCGGAATAGTCGTATTGAATTATAAATTATCGTAAATTATTGTATAGAATTTTTAAAATATCTTTATTAAATTACCGATAAACATTCAAAAATTTCAATTTTTATGAGTGATTTTTATTGTAAACGTGACTAGCTGTTTAATTTTTTTTACTACTAGAAGAAGTTTTTCTTTTCTTTTAAATTTATTTTTTAAATTTGAATAAATTTTAAAATACGATAGGTAAAATCACTCGTTCGATGTAGATCGGTAAGATGGCGCGTAATGACATGTTTAATTAGGCAAAGAGTAAGAAAGCGGACTAAGAGAGTAAGAGAGAAAGAAAATGCTTTGACAAGTCTTTACTTTTAGACTGATCCTGGTAGTTTACCTACGATTTAAAAAAAAGAGATATTCGTAGTTTTGGGGGAAAATCCCACTTTGAAGAAAATAAATATCATGATTCAGTGCTGAAACAACAAAAAGAGAGAGGAAATTCATGAATAGAAAGCTGAGAGGCATTCAACCTGAAAAAATGGTAAGTGCGATTGAGTAACTCGACAATTTGATCTATCGAGAGTAATGGTGTTAATTCTAACCTTGTTGAGCAAAGTAGAAACTGTCTTGTAATAAATGTCCAATTTATTTTGTCTTTAACAATTTGTTTAAAAATCTATTCGTTTCAACCTTTTTTCAGAACTTTTCCCTGCACGTTACATGGATGTCGATAACCTCATCTTCAATTTGTTTGAAGTAATCAAATTTTCACATTATAATTTCTCACATATCTCTAATTCTCGCCATGTCTTCTTAATTTATAAATTTAAAAGCCAAAAGCTGGTTCGTTGAATTCAATTGCAAAAATATCATAACAATATATCAATGAACATTCTTCATTGTTACTTATTGTTACTTTAGTGTATATTGATCATTCCAACATTTCTTCTTCATATTATCTGTTATTTATTTGATTCAGTTTTTCAAATAATTTTTATTTTGTTTATCAATAATTAATCTGTTATATACATTATACATTTGTATTGTTATATACATCATACATTTGTATGAGTTAAATGAAATTTTTAATAAATATTGAGTAATTATCTTTTGTGCATGCATAAATATATAAGGTATTAATAAGCAAAGAGAATAAACTCAAAGTAAACTTTATACAAAATAACAAAGAAAATATCTAAACATGTATATATTTCACAAATGATAAATATAAACTATAAATATAAATATATATTAAGTATAACAATATTGTACATACAATTTTATTTATATTATTTTCTTATTAAAAATTTTAAGTTATTTCGTTTTAGATATTTTTAATAAATTATTTTGTAATGTTTTGTGAAAGCATTTTAATATTCTCAATATTGTGGTTACTCGTTTCTTGAGTGTTCAGTTAAAGAGTACAATGCTTTTTTTATTTACAAATATTAAATTTATAATATTAATATTTATATATATATAATTTTGTATTTTACATATAGATCAAAAATACGTATAACTATCAAGTTTATTTTTATATTATAAGACAAAATATTTTATCTTTTGATGAAATAATATAAAATTTTATTATGTAAAGAGTATATTCAATATTAAAAAATTATAAAAAATAGTTTTAATATATATAAGAATTGTATGTTATAAAAATTGTAATATTTATTTCAAATAAGTAATATTGTGCTAATCTTTTAATATGATAATGGATGTTTTATTATTATTATTATTATTATTATTATTATTTTAATATTATAATGGATGTTTGATCAAAGAAAACAATTTATTTTGTTATTTTTCTTCAGAGTATAATAAGAATATAAATTATTATCTCATAAAACTGTTTTCTTTTTTAAATAATTATTAAAACTTATAAATTCTAAATAATTATTAATAAATGAATAAATAATTATCAAAATTAGAAATTTGAATA